AAAACAAAAATGTAAACAATTAAAGATGGATACTTTTTCCGAAAAATGTAAGAGATCCGAAACTAAAATTTTTAATAAAAACATTTAACTTTATTTTATGATAAAATACATTTTAAAAATTAAATTTATTTGTACTTTGTATTATATTGTATTAATAAACAAAATTATTTGCGTATTTTTCACTTATGTGGAACCTAACCCTATACCTCACTGTAAATACGGGTTCGTTTTACGCCGATTCGATTTGCGCCGGCTTTCGTAGGAACGGAACTGCGGTGTAAACCGAGGGCTACCTGTATTTAGGGCATTTAATTGTGTTATTTTTACCTTAAATTATGTGTATGGCTATTTAAGTTTATCAAAATAAGTATTGTTTAGGGTCTGGAAACAATTAATTCACTTTCCATTATTTCTAATGGGGAAAACTGATTTCAAACTTCAAACAATTCAGAGTTCAAATGGCCTTCTGAACAAATTAAATTTGAAGTACAAGATGCCACTATATTATATTTGTCAACATTATACTCATTTCAACTGAACATTTTTTTCTTGTTAAAATTTATTTTTCATTTGATTATTACAATAATTTTGGTGAAAATACATACAATACTTATTTTAAAACATGTATGCTATCTTAAATAAAATTATATTATACTTTACTGTACAATAATTCTGAAAATATAATTAATACATAATAAATTATAAATTTTAAAATTTACATTTACTAACCTCTCTCAGTAAATGCTCCTTCAGCGCGTTCTTGAATTCTCTGAAACAGTTCCCCACCTTCCATACTGAAATTTTTATTTATTTTTTATTTAACATAATTTAAAACCATATAATATATAATATAATATATATTTATATACAATACTATATAAAATACTATTTACTTAAAATAAATCATTGATTTTAAACGTATTTTTATAATAAACAGTGTGATCATGGTTTACACAAGGTTTTAATTATGAACATTACAAAACCATGCATACAAAAAAGCAAGATTCATGAAAATTAAGATCATCCTTAAAAAATATACTCAAACTTGAAGACATTCAACAAATGCCTACTTAATCATTAACACAATAAATGTTAAGCTTATTTTATATACTGGGTGACAATTAATGTTTAGACAGAAAAGAAATTGAACTGCACATGCAGAAGTTGTGTGGTGACAGAGGTCTGCCAGTGAGATAGCGATAAAAAAAAAGAAACAATTGAAAGGGTTTAGTGTTATTTTAGGTATAGTATGCAAACAACTATATTCCATGGAAGACCAGACTTTTCTTATGAAAAATTACTATAAAGTGGGCAAAATCATCACAGAATTGCTCTGCAAGTGGTCCACAATATTCAAGAACTGCCCAAAACTATCTCAGTGTACAATAATGAACTTAATATAGAAATCTGAAGTTATGGTCCTGTCCTTGATGCCTATAAAGGAAATGTTGGCCAAAAAGTTACTGCAAGGACAAAACTTTGCAGTCTACTACAAAGCCCCAAAATCAACTTATGATCTCAAAACAGCCATTGTTAATGCTTTTGATAGCCTCCATAGCAATATTTTGCTAACAACTATTAACAACTATTCCATGCATCTTCGTCATGTCATTGCATCCAGAGGAAGTCACTTTGAAAACTTTATATATGTTACTGGCCAAACCCGATTTCAGGACAAACTAGTTTGTCCTAGGCCGAACTGATTTATGTACTACAAATAGATGCCAGTGTAAAAAAAAAATGATTTTGTGTAATTCGAAATGCTACCACAATACAACTGGTGGTTAAAGTGTACAGTACCTAGGTAACCCCAATGGCGATACTTAGGTTAGGTTGGTTTAGTTAGGTTAACTACATTTTTAGTAGATGTTTCCTTTTTTTCTTTTGTTCAAGAACTACCGTGAATCAATAACTAGTGACGTTAAACAATGGGCGGCCTGATGGTGGCTCCCCTCCGGGAGGAATCTGCCAAGAGCATGAACAGTCTGAAGTGCGTTCATTGGGGTTACCTAGCTACACTTTAACCCATCGTGTAAAAATAAATAAAAGATTAAATATTTTATATGTTACACTAAGAAACACAAACAAGTTTATTTTTAATTTTAATTTGACTTTAAAAGTTATTTTTATTATTTCATTTGAATTTTTGAAAATATTTTTGATTGTTAATTACATTTAAAAGTGCATGGCTTAATAAAAAAATACAAACTGATAAGTACTGATTAGCTTATTTTTATTTTATAGTTTTGTACAAGTGTTGTGTCACTTCTAATCAATACCGTTTTTTACAATTAAGTAGACTGTTTGAATAAATATTGTTCATCTAATTGATTGCCTTTTAATTTTATTTTAGCCATTAATATACTTAAATCAGGCCTGGGCCGCATGCGACCCATTACATTAAATTGTGCAGCCTACTAAGCGATATTATATATCTATTAAAACTTTCGTTTTTCATTTTGATTATACCAAAACAAATAAATGAAATGAAATAAATGAAAATTTGCATGTGTCATTGTTATAATGCGCAAGTGCAAGTACAAACTCTTGGTATAACAATGAAATCGTATTCATTTTGTATTTGTTTTACTTTTTTAAAAGTATGTTTGCCTAAATTGTCACCCATTGTAATTTACGCGTGATCAAAGTGGCCCACGAAACAATTTGGGTTGGCCAGGCCTGACTTAAATAATAATTCTAAATCAGTTTGGCCTAAGACAAACTAGTTAAGCTATGTATTATATATGTTATTAGCCAAACCCAATTTCAGGCCAAACTAGTTTATTATACGTGTGTCAGTATATACTAGTTTGGCCTGAAATCGGGTTTGGCCGGTAACATATATAATACATAGATATAAATCTGCATAATATTAAAACCTCTCTAAGATATATACAGTAGGTGATCGGTTAACGAACATAATCCGTTCCAAGACTTTGTTCGCTATCCGAATTGTTCGTTAACCGATTATCGATTTACCATAGGTTTTAATGGGAATTTAATTAATTCGTTCTGGAGACACCAAAAATAAACAAATATATACTTTCTTACTACGTTTATTTATATGTAATAATAAAAATACATACACATTTTTATTAGTCATGTTTTTTCCGTTTGAAAGGGTTAAATAATCTGTCTAATGTCGATTGCTTTTTCCTCTTCAGGATTTTTCGTAAGTAGTTATTAATAGCATTGCAATTGTAGAAATCCCCAAGCCTCAACCTGGTTTGGATGCCATTCTATGATCGTTATTTTGACATCCTCCTACTACTACAAAAGATCTTTAATAACAGATATCGGCATTAATCCTCTTTTTCAGAAGAAAACATATCTCGCTGAGTTTCTTGGTGTTCTTCATTCAAGAGTTCTTGGCGTTCTTCTGTCATCAGATCCGTTTCGGATTCCATTATGAACTCTTTGATGTTCTTTATATCTCAGATGTGATTTTTGTTACTCCTTTAGCTGCTTGAGTCTTCTTGATAATACAGTATCTTTCTTAGATAAGATTTAACTACGGCCTATTGTAGACCTGTTCAAGCCATACTGCCCAGAAACATTAGGCATTTTCTGCCCACTCTCTACCTTTGCTATTATACTCTGACCTTTCGAAAAGAAAAACAGACGCAAAACTTAACAAGTGCCTACCCGACAGTCTCGCGAATACATAAAAGAATTGTTTCTGTCAGAAAAATAAAAGGCTGGAATTAAAAGGAAGAGTTTCAAAGTTCGGAGGAATACTATCCGATCGGTATATATCAGCTTGAGCGTTGATGTCGATGTCTCCCACGCTCCGAAAGGTTTCAAATTGTTGCCCTAAGACAAGGGAAGACCAATCGGTATTCATTATTTTACATCGCTTCTTCTTGTGTTTGTTCTATGGGGTGTTCGTTATCCAATCATGTGTTCGTTGTCCAAACATAAAAATCTTTCGCGAAAGTGTTCGTTATCTGATTTGTTCGTTATCCGATCTGTTCATTAACCGATCACCCACTGTATATATATATATATATATCTGTTTGTATAATTTATAAATGTATGTATAATACAGTCAAGTTTGCATAAGTTGACACCCCAAGGGAAAGTGGAAATGTGTTGAGTTACTGATATGACAACTAAAACAAAAGTTGAAAAAAAAAATCACAAAACTGCAATTAGGAAAATACAGTGGTACCTCGGTATACGTCTGCTTTAGAATACGTCCAATTCAGAATATGTCCTGTTTGGACAAAACAAATTTTGCTCGGTATATGACTTTTGTTCGGTATACGACTTAATTCATTTATACGCGCCATCTATGAATAAGTAGCACTTTCGGTGTACTAGACTAGACTAGACATTCGCGATGCCACAGTTTCTAACTTTGTTAAATTTCTTCTGATTTTAATTTATAAGTAAAATTTTATTATTTTTATTAATCATGAATTGCAAAAAGGCAAGTGAAAAGCAACAGAAAACTAAAAAAAAATGACTAGAATCACAATGGAACTGATAATAGATTGTTGAGGAATATGAAGGTGGCATGCGTGTTCGAGATTTAACTGTTGTGTACCGTATTCCGAGAACGACGATATCGACAATCGCGAAAAATAAAGATATTATTAAATCTGCTAACGTTGTGAAAGGGATTAAATCAATTTCTAAACAGAGATCAAAGACATTAGATCATGTCGAGAAATTGCTTTTGCTTTGGATAACTGAAAAACAGTGCTGGAGACAGCATATCAGAAGCAATTATTTGCGAAAAAGCTAAAAAGATACACGCTGATCTCATGAAAAATCAAGCAGGAACTAGCCGGAAAGCAAGGTGTTTAAAGCCAGCCATTTTTTTTCATGAGAACGGATTAATCATTTTTACATTACTTCTTATGGGAAAGGTTGGTTTGGTATACGTCCTATTCGGTATAAGTCCAAACATTAGGAATGGATTAAGGTCATATACTGAGGTTCCACTGTACAGTAGTGCTTTATTCGCTTATGCCAGTAAATATAGATGGCGTATGAGTTGACCAAAATGGCTGCCACAAAGGGTATAGCATGCATGGCAACATACGAGAGTTACATGCGTGTTGTCTTTTTAATATGTTTTCTCTCTGTAGTCAAAATGTTTTATCCGCATTTGTGTCCGACATTAATCCTAGTTGATTTCGTAGTCATTTAAGTCATGATGATTACACCTTGTGACATTTTAGAATATGTGGGTGATCGAAAAACATGTCTTATAAGGGGAGGAAATGCTAAACTGATAACTTCATATATATACATCTCTTAGCAACTAATTTACTTCAGCACCTAATTTTGCTGAGCTTAAAACTTTTATTTTTACAAACGTTTTCAACCTATCTAATATAGGCCATCATCAGTCTACCTGGTATGTTTTCAACCTGTCTAATATAGGCAATCATCAGGTTTAATATTATAAATGTTCCAAAATGGAATGTACCATTTTTGAATATTTTACATATTTAAAATTCAAAAAAATAATTAAACTTTAAAATAAATTGAAAGAAGTGCATATATTAAATAAATAAAAAGTAAATAAAACATAGAAAACAAAGCTAACTGGAAAGAAACATGATTTAAGGGTGTTTAAGTTCCATTCCTTTTTCTATTATATATTTCCATTTTATATACCCCTGCTTTCTCTTCCTTTTTTATGCTATCTTTATCATTCCATAGCAAGCTATAGATATTGGGTGCTCTTTTTCTTATAAAAACTTGAGAATGGTCTATAAAAGAGCATCCAATATCTATAGCTTACACCCTTACATACACCCTTAAATCATGTTTCTTTCCAGTTAGCTTTGTTTTCTATATTTTATTTACTTTTTATTTATTTAATATATGCACTTCTTTCAATTTATTTTAAAGTTCAATTATTTTTTTTTAATTTTAAATATGTAAAATATTCAAAAACGGTACGTTCCATTTTGGAACATTTATAATATTAAACCTGATGATTACCTATATTAGACAAGTTGAAAACATTTGTAAAAATAAAAGAATTTTAAGCTCAGCAAAATTAGATGTTGGTGAAACTGAACTGATAACTTTAGTTCTATTTCCCACTTTTTGCACAGTAATTTAATTTTTGGGAATGTGACCACATATGTACTGAGGAGTTTGATGAACTTTTAGACTTACATCCAAATTCACAGCAATACTTATTACAATAGAGTGTCGTTTATCCAAAAGCCGGTTATCCGAAACATTGGTTAACTGAAAGCATTCCAGTTGGAAAATTTAAATTTTTGCTATTGTGGCGTTGCAATCTTTGGCTATATCTTGGGCTACTCCAATACTTTTTTGTTGGTGTATGTGTTTTAGCTGGTAGCACTGGCACTTTTGTGTGGTGTTTTTCTGAGGACTGTGTGTCATGCTGAATCAAACATTTTTGATACTAGATTAATTTCTAAATTATAATTTTTTTGTTTTTATATTTTTCAATATATTTATTTTGTTTGTAAAAAATAAAGAAATAATTTTTAATGATACAATAGCCACGATTATTATTTTAAAAAGTTTACATTAGGCTTAACATCGACGAAAATTCAATGCGAAGCGACACGCAACAAAGAAAAATTTCAACATGGGATAGGTTAATATATTTTTTGTACATAATCAGTTATCCGAAAAATAAGTAATCCGAACAACCTCAGTCTCCAATTGATTCGGATAAACGATGCTCTACTGTATTTACCATTGTAGGTTAAACACTTTCTAATTCTAACAGACCACAGACTTTATACCCATAGCAGCCGCCATTACATAGTTCGCACTAATACCGCTAGGTGTCAGATCTATCGCTGGTACAAGTGAATACAGTACATGCAATGTATCTCTGACCATCCATCACTAGCAGTAAAGTTGGTTTTTACTCCAAGTATCCCAGTGATTTCCATCACCTTTTGTTTCAGTATTGGTCTTGAAACAGGAAGATTTGATGAACAAATTTGCTTTAGACAACGTAACAGAGCATCTTCAACATCTTTGTACAGCGACTTTCTCTGGTGTTAGAGACAGCCACAATGAAGATTCAAGATAAAAGTTTCTTAATTTCCTCTTTTTTCTTTAGGATTCCCACCAATGTTGTTCTTGGAAGGTTTGTTTTTTTGGTTTGGCAAATTTGGCTTGAGAAGTTTTCTTACATTCAAATTCTGACAAAAGTTCATATTTTTCCTTCAGCATAAGTGTTGTTAGCTTTCGGACACTCATTTCTAACAGAAATGTGAAACATGCTACAAATAACGCATGAGGTGAGAAAATGCAAAACTGGATTCTGCTATGAAGTTGACACTGATTGTATATTTTCTTTTTGTTTATCTGTTATTGAATATTATTTTTGTAAAGTATTGACCTTTAAGCAGAGAGGGAACAAAAGAAGCGCGACCTTGTCAATTGGACCCACGTGCAGTCGGGCAGTATACCACTTGTAAGGTGTTGACTTGTAAACAGAGGGAAAACAAAGGGAGCGCTGACTTTGTCAATTGGACCCACCTGTGGTTAGACGATAGACCATTTGCCATATGGTAAACAAATAAATGTAAACAAGTGGCAGACGTTTATGTAAGCTTCACTCTTGTCGGATAACGGTGGACCTGAGTGTAAGCTGTTCGGGCAAGAAGGGGTTGTGATTGGTCAGAAGTCCTCATCCAAAAAACCCTTAAATTGCTGTGTGAACGAGAGAGGAGGAGAGAAGGGCAAGAGACTGGTACACGGTAGTCTCAGGCACTTGGATACCCGCTGAGTGTAGAGAGAGTGTTCTCCTCTGGTAAATATCTCAGGGATGAGTTAGTGCAGAGACTGGACGGACCGTGCAGTTGAGCCAACTCCACAAGCTGAATGAGGCTCTCCAAAGTTTAATAGTTCCTGGAAACCAATCTAGTATGTGAGTCACCACACATTGTTATCCTGTATATATATTATGTTTTCGAACTTGTACTTTCTGCATATAGAATCTGTAAATAAACTGTAAATATTATCAATTTGAGTGTGGAGGTGTGCTTTCCATCAAACCTGGATCACTATATCAAATCGTGATACACACAGAAACCAACTCAACGAGACAGAGTTTGGGAAAGAACTTCACCAAGATATTCACTATTTTATATATAAAAATGCATAAAACATTAACACATTTTTATTAATATGTATATATTAATAAATAAGTCAACTTCCATCCTGAAAAAAATGAGTTTATATCATTACGAAACTGAACTGATTGTAAAACACTTTCAGTAAAGTTTGATGTTGGAATAAAATTATTCAAATTTATAGTTTAATCACTATTTTATTTTTGCAGTATTCTAAAACTTTTATTTTGATGCTTACCATATTGTTCACTCAATAGCTCATTTACCATTGCTATTTTGTATTATAAGATCACATTGTTTCATATTTACTTGAAATAAGATTGTGTAAATATTGACTACACTATAATATGACAACAAATAATTATTGAAATTTTATAACTGCTGACTTAAGAAGGATTTTAAATTCATTTTTAGTAGAAGATTTCAATATTATCATAAGTACAACTTAACAATGAGCAAATTTATAATAATTATTTTCTATTTCTTTAAAAAAACACAATTTTAAAGTTAAAAGTAAAAAAATTTTAATTTATTTAATTCATCAACATATTCATAGTCTTTCACTTTTCATGTGTTTTGTTTTTCATCAAATCTTCAATTATTATATTTATGACTATCATTTATATTAAATTACACTTTAGTTTCTATTTAGGTTTCTGTCTGGAATATTTTAAATTTTAAGCAACATATTATTATTCTTCTCTTTTCAGCTTAGAGATTCCTTAACAACAAATTAGATTTCAGTCTTTATATACACCAATGAAATTTATTGAAAAAAATGTTTTTAGTCATTTTATAAAAATCTTCCTTTTTATCATCCTCAATTAACAGTTAATACTAAACATTTTGTAAATTGTAAAAAATTATAAAACTGATTTTGTCATCTTTAATTTTAAAGATTTTGTAATCTAAAAACACAAATTCACGTTTTTTCACAAAGCACTTTCTTAATGACAAAAGCACATTAACTTGCTTTATAGGGAAAATAAAAATTCTGATCTAGAGTTCATAATTTTTATCCTCCCTATAATTAAATATTTGCTAGAACTATCATAAAAATTACATGATATCAGGTTAAGTCAAAGTTCAAGGACAAAATCATGAGAAAAGAAGAACAAAAAACTTTGAAAAAAGAGAAAAGAAAGCATTACTTGAGAAAAATAGATATATTTTATTCGTTAAAATATAAGCCATTGTTTTCTATGACTCACCCATCTTCTGGCAAGAAGAGTAATTTGATGATGGTACCAATCTTTTGGTTTAAATGAAAAGCAATCACTGGCAGACTATCTTATGATCACAGTTTTGAAACTGGCTATCTATCATTTACTAAGCAAATACACCTACAACTGCCGTAAATGATTGAGCTATATTTTGTTGTAGGTGTATTTACTTAAGATATCGGGTTTTCAATTGATGTGTATATTTATTTATCTATCATTTACTAAAAAATTTGTAAACAACACCTTTGTAGGCCCAGATAACTCAAGACATTTTCAGCTAAATTGTTGCTTTAATGTTCAGTAACTTTTCTTCTTTATGTAACTTTTCATTATAAAAATTTCTGTTGTGTAAGACATTTCCAACTTCACAACATTTAATTTAAATAATCATAAACTAATGCTACATTTAGAATAGATAGCACCTAACACAGCAATTGAATGATATTTACTCATTTTATAACCAAATTCCTCACTCTGCTTCTTGCTATTAAACTTCTTTTTCTCATCTGATACATTTACAATACTTCACCATAATTTACATTGCTTCACCATAATTTACAATGTAAATTATCGTAAAGTAAATACCATTTATATTATTTATCAAAAGAAAGAAATAACTTAAAGTTGACATAATAAATAACACACACCTCAGAAAAACCTTTAACCAATGTGAAATAACATTTAATAGTACAAACGTTTTCAGACTTCTTCAGGATAAAATCGTTTGAAAAGTTAATAAATACGAAAAATATTCGTTTTGAACGATTTTTTAAAATTGAAAAGATAGAATGGAATCATGTGACCTATAGCTCTGAACGTTACAGTTTCCACATCATAACGTAGTGGAAACTGTGAAATTTTCTGAGGTGTGTGTTATTTAAGTTATATCCGATGTGCAGGTGATAATTATTATTGACATAATAAATAACTGTTATAGTCATACAAATCTTTTTGGATATATAAATAATGATAATTGACATTCAAAGGAGTTCTTCACAAGAGAAAGTTGAAAAATTTAAAACAAATCTTGTCCTGAATATGTTTCAAAATACTCTAATGCCAATTAAATTACTCTATGTAATCTAATTTATTAAAATTAGCAGCAGATAATGCTATGTCTACTTGTAAAGCCAAGTTACTCAATTAAAAACTTAATAGCTTATTAACAAACTTATCTTACCATTCCATAACTACTAATAAGCATTTTTGGCCACCATAGTTATTTTCAAAGACATCCATAATATTTACTATATGTCTGCAATTACTTGCTCTCCAATGAAGTTCAACTTCTCTTCTTGCTTTAGGACAATCACGCAATACCTTGAAATAAAAATTCAGTAATATTACTTATATGAGAAAATTAATTATTATTAAATGCTTTAACTGAACAAATATTTTTTATTATTTTCTCTAATTAATTTCAGCAAATTGAACATATACATAGAAATTAAATTACTTACTAAGCTAAGTATTACACAAAAATCAGCATTTCTAATGAAACTGATTTTAATAATTAACATTCTATTAAAGGTTTAAAAAAATATAAGCAAAATAAATAAAAATTAATTTCCATCAAACATTAAAAACATATAACAAATGCCAGAGAAAAAATCTAATAAAATTTTACAATAAATTTAATAAATTAGAAACATGTTGGAATACTTACTTATTAAGAACGTCTAAATATTTAAATTATGAAATAACTGAGAAATATTTAAAATTCTACAAACAAACACTGAAAAGTAAGAATAATTTTCTTTTGTTGGCCACTACACAGAACTAGAGAATACTATCTTGTAATTTTTCACATTATTTTTGTATATCAGGGATTCCCAACCTTACGCCAAGTGTTGAAATAATGAAAAAAATTAAATCTTAAAAATAAAGAAAATAAAAAGTTAGTTTAGTTTTTAAAATCTTGCTAGATGTAGTGAGAAATTGGCTACACTTGGACTATATTGACCACTGTCTAATCCATCAATCCTATTATAATCATGTCTCCAATGGCATCTCTATTGTATTAGTAGTAGGGTTTCTCATTTCCCGGTATTTTGCTTGTCCCGGGATCCCGGGATAAAAGTGAACTGTTTCCCGGGATCCCGGGAAATCCCGGGATAGAATTAATTATTTTTAAGGTATACAAAATATCTTGAAATCAAATGATATAATTATTTTCCATTTTTTAAAGTAATTTTAAAGTTCTGTAACCTCCAAAATCATATTAATAATGCTGTGTAAGGTCTATAGGCCTATAATAAAAATTACCTTTAAATAACGTAGAAATTTTCACAAATAGAAAAAAATTAATTAAAGTTTGCTGGAAACTGCATACAACAACAACAAAAAAAAATTTTTTGAATTGAGTTAAAAATTAAAAAAAATGAACTTCTAATTTAGAAGGTAATTTTCGTTTTTTAAATAAAATATAATACAAAATATTGCAAACTTTTATAAGATTTTAAAAAGCAAAGATGGTCAATACTCCGATAACTCACTCTAATTCTTATTTTAGTAATGAAAAGTCTTGCCACCGAGAATGCCCTTTCCGATTCAATTGATGTGATTGGAATAGTGTTTAATGCATTTAAGAGAAGACAGATATTATGTGTTTTTTCACCTGTAGCCTGGAAGCTTTCGAGTTCGTTTTCGAGATTGTAGTACTTCTTTCGCTCTCTAGTATTCTTGATTTGTCTACCTTGGCTGCTTTAATAGCGGCATCAAGCTTAGAGCTCGATAATTCGGCAATTCATTTGGCTTTAATAATCAGGTTTATGAAGAAAAACTTCATACTTGCAGACTTTGTACTCGTTTGTATCCTTGCCCAATTTGCACAATCTGGCGTCAGGCATTTATTGAAGCTACTGGGCATGGTTAAAACTCAAGACAGCGTAAGCACAATTATTCCAGATATTACAGGTTCCGACAAGTAAAGAATTTTTATAGTCCTGCCACAAATAAGCTATATATTGATTATTGACCATTTGTGACATGCTATAACGAGCAAAAATTTAAAAAAACTAATAGGTAGGTTTAAAATTAATAAATACAAATGTATTCTGGCAGTGAATGAGTTAATTATGTTTTCTATTTGCAAAACTCCTCAACCTTAACACAAAATAAGAAAAAAAGTGAATTTTTAAGAAATTTGCGGGATTTCCCGGGATAAGATAAATTTCCCGGGATATTTCCCGGGTTAGAAAAACAACCGGGATCCCGGAATCCCGTTTCAGAAACCCTAATTAGTAGTATGGTATTAGTCACCATCACATGCTGTCGTCGTAAACTCGTACTGTTCTCATCACATGGTATCGGTGTGTTGTGTTTTTGACAAGACTATGTCTTGTTTATAAAATCGTGGTGCTGTTACGGTCACACCTTAGAGGTATAAGGAGGACATGTCAGGAGTTGCAATTTGGCACAGAGTATTAGGTGCCCAAATCATACACATATAAAAAAAATCAGACTTGTAGGGATTGAGAACCGAATCAACATAAAATACAAAATGGTGACATCTTTCTACAAACAGGCAAAAGTGTGAGATTTGCACATGCATATATTGTTGGGAAGTTGGAAATGTGAACGTTGCAAAATCAAATTTTGACAAACAAATATTGAAAAAACCCATTTACCTCTCTGGTCACGACCTGCTAACCTTGACCAGTTGACCCAAAATATCTCATTTCAGCATTGGAATGTTTTTCAAACTAGATGGTGCTAGTCGTTATAATTTTATATTAAAACTAACTTCCAAAATATAATTTTTTTTTTGTTTTTACATTTATTAAATATATTTATTTTGTTTGTGCAAAATAAAAAAATAATTTCCGATGATACAACAGACACGATTATTTTTTTCAAAACTGGGAAATTTTTGTTAGGCATCGACAAAAATTCAACCTAGGCAACACACAACAAACAGAAATTTTGACATTGAATAGGTTAATTTCATCGAAAATACCTTGTGGTTGTGGCCAAGGCCAGCAAAGTTTGAACAATCGCATCAAGCCAGAGTCTCTGAGACATAGTCTTGTCCCAAAAATTGGCCTTGCCATTTTACTTTTTTTTGTATATAAGCGTTTTACTGACAATTAGTAATCCAAGTAAAAAACAACGAACCTATCATTTTAACAAAGATTGGAAAAAAGATTATTGAAAGAGATTATTATTGGGAAAAAAAATTGTTATCGAAAGTAAGAAGCAATGTATTTGCTTAATATGCAACAGCATTGTGTCAGTAGCAAAAAAACATGTTGAACGTCATTACAAAACCAATCACAGTTCTTATGAGGTTAGTTATCCATCTAAATCCGAGTTAAGAAAAAAAAATTTAATCAACTAAAATCAGGATTATCTACCTAGCAAGCATTTTTTATTAGCCTTGTAAATAAAAATAAAAATGCCACTATTGCTTCCTTTAAAATTTTTCATTTGTTGGCAAAACGAAAAAACTTATTTTTAGAAAGTGAACTAATTAAGGAAGCATTCCTCATTGGAGCCGATTCATTATTTGAAAGATTTTCTAATAAACTAAAAATTATTTCAGCAATACAAGATTTGCTGTTATCAAACAATACAAGTATAAGGAGAATCCAGGTGATTTCAACAGATTTACAAAGTCAGTTGAAAAATAATTGGAAATAATGAGTATTTCTCATTACAATTAGATGAGTCAACAGATACATCAGATACAGCACAATTGGCAGTAATAATAAGAATGGTATTCAGTGATTTTAGTGGGAAAGAAGAACTATTAAAGTTACTATCAATGCAAGAGCAAACAAGGGGTGAAGATATTTACAATATCTTTAAAAATTACTCAACAGAAATTAATATGCCTTTACACAACTCATCAGCAATAATTACTGATGGTGCACCAACAATGGTGAGTCGAAATAATGAATTCATTTCCCATTGCAAGAGAGATGAATCCTTTCTGAACTTTATCATCACTATATAATACATCAAGAATCATTATGTACCAAAACATTATCTTTTGAACATGTTATGAATGTTGTTAAAATAACAAAATTTGAGCAAATCCCTTATCACACAGACTGATTTTTTGATCTTTTGGAAAAGATTAAAAAGTTCTTTATTTCAAAAGGTCAAACATTTGAACAATTAGATATCCTAAAATGGTTGATGGATTTGGCTTTTTTAACTGACATATGTGAAAAATTGAACAGTTAAAACCTGGATCTCCAGGGAAAAAATAAACATTTAGCTGAAATGATTAGCTCTATAAAAGCATTCAAAGCCAAAATACAGTTTTGGATAAATAATTTGTCAAAAAATTCTCTTGTACACTTTCCAAGAATGGAAGAAGTAACTGGTGAGAAAAATTTTGACCTAACATTATTTATTACTCATCCTAAAAAAAACCTTTTGGAACAGTTTGAAAGTAGATTCCAGCAATTTATCATTACTGAACCTTGGCTACATTTTTTGTAAATCCTTTTACTACACAAGTAGACATTACTAAAACTGCTAAATCTATAGCACAACTTCTTCAAGAAGAAACATCAATAATTTAAGAAGAGATTTTAGATTTTCGAAATGACATCATATTAAAATCTTATAATACGAATAAAAACTTTTGAAATTTAGTTGATCATAAAAGTATAATCTTTTGAAAAAAGGAGTCTCAAAATCAAATCCTGTTTTTGTTCCATATATTTGTGCAAATCTTTATTTTCCACCATGAATATTATAAATCAAAAGTCAGATCTCAACTTAGTAATGCCAACCTTGAAGATTGTTTATGATTAGGATTATCATCTCACACTCCTAACTGTGAGAAATTAGCAAATGAAGTGTACTGTCAAAGATCACATTAATTGGCTTTTATAATGAATATATTATACAGTGGTACCTCAGTATACATCTGCTTTAGAATACGTAAAATTCAGAATACGTCCTGTTTGGACGAAACAAATTTTGCTCGGTATATGATTTAATTCAGTTATACGCACCATCTATGAACAAGTAGCACTTGGTGTAGTAGACCAGACTAGATGGACCAGGTGGCCGAGCAGCCAAGGCGGCAGCCCACCACTCTGGGGGACCTGGGTTCAAATCCGACACAGGTTGTAAAACCCCTAGGAATTTTTCAGGCGGGTCTGTTCGGATATGTCAGGCCCCACCTCTGCTGAAACAGAATTGCCGCGTAAGATAACAAAACATATGTTCCTCGTGTAACTATATAATGTTATGACTCTGTCACATTTCCAGCAACTTTTATGTTTTAAATTTATTTTTATCTATTTATACTTATTAATGTTTTGCACGCGTGTATAACCTCATATATATAATTGTACACG